TTTAAATAATATAAAATTTTGATTCACATTTAAGATTATTTGCAAAATCCTTAATATAGTGTTTATTACATATTCCTTCTGTTAGTTTTGTTATCTATATAATGGAAAAAGTTTGTCCTTTTGAACAAACAAAATATACGAAAACCTAACCATCGACGCGTTCTATAAGTACTTAAATGGGGTCATATGTATCCATCCTCGTCGTACTACTCTCTACGTCATATGAGGTCTGACATCCTGACCAGACATAATAATCTTAACTCTTAAACTCCTTACACTCAAGTTGACGATCTTAGTCCTGATTTAAAGTTCGGTATTATGATATATTTTTATATTTATTTAAGATAACACAAAAATAAAATATTATAAAAAATGTAAAATTTTATATATAAATTTAAGAAAAATGAGAGTAAAAGGTAAAAAATAATAATGTCAAATAAACTTAAAAAATTTAAATGTGTGAAATAATATATTACAAAATGGATATGGACAAGAGCACCTTCCACGAAGCTTAGCTCACCTTTATATCCGCGTAAGACACAGTATTTAATCACACACTGAATAGAAGAAAGCAGTTCAGCATCCTTAGTTCTAGTTTTAGCATGGAAAAACATGGTGAGGAAGAAGAGTTTGTTGGTTTCAGCTACGATGTGTTGATTAATTTTAGAGGTGAAGATGCTGGGAACAATTTTGTAGGACATCTCCGTAGAGAGTTGGGTAGTGAGGGAATAAACACATTCAATGATGACAGAGATATGAGGATAGGGAAAGGTCTTTCACTTGCTCTGTGTGAGGCCATTGAAGAATCTAATATTTTCATAGTTGTGTTTTCTGAGAACTATGCATCTTCCACATGGTGTCTGGATGAACTTGTTGAGATCATGGAACGCACCCACAAGAACAGTAAGCAAGTTGTTTACCCAGTGTTCTACCATGTAGATCCCTCAGATATACGGAAAATCAGAAATAGTTTCGAAAAACACATGACGGCACACGAAAATGAGATTGGAAAAGAGTCGCAGAGAATACAAGCTTGGAGGTCTGCTTTGTTTGAAGCAGCTAGCTTGCCAGGGATGCATATTCCCACCGGGTATGTACATCAACAATTTCATTACAAAATCATTCAGTCTTATTTCTATCTCATCCTAAATTTTGAAAGCTAACTAACTAATTAACTTGACTGTATAATATAATGTTTTTATTTTAATTTGACCAATGTTATCATACATTTTTATATTCATTTATTAAAGAATATAAGAATAAAATGATTATAAAAGTATTTGTATTTTTTTAAGAAAAAAGAAAATAAAAATAAATAAAAATAATGTAAAATGAATATAAAAAATTTAAGCATGCGAAAAATATTTTTCTTTTAACCTTCTAAACCTCGACCACATTAAATGAACAAATATGAGATGAAAATGAAAAACATTCGGAGAAATGAGAAGAACAGTACTTTTGTGTCAAATTTGACAATGATAAGTGATTCCATATGTCTATCGTATTTATGTTAAATTATTACTTTATTATATTCTTGTGAGACATTGACAGATTAGACATCAAAATTATAATATACTAGTTTATAACTGAAAAACAACATAATAGCTTGATTTTACTAATAAATAAAATTACAATATCTTACTATGAATTTAAAGATAAAATAGTAAAGAAGTACAACTAAAAAAGAATATTAAAGGATAAATTATTTTTTTATTAATCATCTAAAGAAATAGAAAAGGAAAAAAAAAACAAATTTGATATGTTTACTGAGAATATATTGTGTCTTTCTTATAATAAGAATAACTACACACCAGAATAAGGTTTCTTTAATACATGACTTCACTTTTAACATTAATTTTACTTTTTTTTTATTAAATCTTTAAATAATATATTATTTTTTTATTCTTTATTATTTATTTTTCTGATATATCATAATAAGATCAACTCCCTATAAATTCGTTAACGTTAAAAAATTTTGTGGTATCATTAGTTAGGTTTTTATTTACATCAATCTTTTTCATATTCACGTTTTTTTCCCTCAACTTTTTCTGAAACAAAATTATAGGATATACACATGTGCTTTGTTCTAGAATCAATTTCACATCATGCTTTTCTTTATCACTTATACTAGTTTTTTTTTTTATCAACATTCATATTCTTATACTCATCTTCGTTTATCATATACGAAGTTTAATTTCATCCTCTTTTGTCCATGAAACCATTCAATTCGATTCACAAGCTTTTTTTGCCTTTCTTTTTGTTGAAATGTTTTATTGTTTCTGAAGGTGATAATGAAGGCACTAAATGAGAAACATTTGCTTTTAAAATTATTATCATTATGTTTGGTCACATCGACACTTATGAAATTAATATTGAAAGTAGATTTCATTTAATTATTGCTATATATATTAAATAAATTTTAGAATAAAACTGTACTAGCATGAGTTTGATCGATATTAAATTTCTTGAATTACATACTAATTTACAAATTAGAGATAAATTAGTTTTGCTTTGCTTTGCTGAAGTAGGAATTATGTAATTTGAGTGTGTTTTTGCAATAAAAAAATAATATTATACTTAAGTTCAACTTATGTAGGAATTTTACTTTGCACATAAACAAGAATGACTCGGGTAATGTACTTTACGCGATATTGATATTGTTTTTATCATGTGTGGTCTTTTTCTATATATATTATTGTAAAATATTATTAATGTATATAAAATGTTAAATTGTTGACTATG